CAATTGTATTTTCAGGCTCATTAAGCAATAGCACAAAAAGGGGGAGCTCTTACCCCCCATCTACTTTCTCGACCATGGTCTGTTCAGCGGGTGAAAAGGGGGTGAACAGAGGTGATAAAAGGTGGGATAAAGAAATGAGCGGGGCAGTTAATTATAGTTGTGAGACTCTATCAGGTTTACTGATGTTTACTACATGAGTGTGTTTGGGAGTTAAGTGTAGGAGGATGAGAAGAAGAAGGAGAGCGTGCACAGTTGCTACTCTCAGTCTTCTGAGAACCAATCCGGCTGCTGGGTAGCAGCCCTATTCAGGACCGAGGCATGCTTATTTATTTGAAAGAGACCCCGCTTTTTAAACTTCCCACCCTCTCCTTTGTTCGACTTCTCATGGGGAGGACTTTGAAATTGTAATCTCAGGATATTCAAACACACATATTTGTTCTGACCTTTGGTGCCTGCAATAACATTATTACTATGAAACAAGCCTTGCCAGCTTGGATCTACAGTGCATGAAACCGCTTTTGACTGCAAAATCTTTGACTTACAATTAGATTCAAAGCAAGATTAGCTAGTAAAGAGACGGACATTTTAAATAAAATAATGAATGGGGGCATTTTTAAATCAGCTACATTTACATGAATTTCACATCAGTTATGGGGGATGGTTCATTTGCTTGTAAAACATACACTGACAGGAGAAAAAAAATCTAAAGATTCTCACCTGGAAGCAATTGTCAAAAAGAAAATGTGACTATGATTTAGCTTTGTGAGAAAAAAAAATTGTCATCCTTTTTGATATAAATTGTTTTGAACACTTACTGTTTTATTGCTGTGATTATGATTATTTTCCAGTTCAACGAAATGTTATACATACAAATTGTTCCTAATTTACTATAATTGGACCATATGAGTACTGTAAATGTACCTGCATTCAGCCATAAGGATTGAATAATCCTCTCAGTTACACTTTGTGGAAATAATTTGAAAGGAATTATTGATATTTTATCTTGCCCCGCTTAAATATCAGCCGAAACTTTTTTATTACGTAAAACAGAAAATATGATATCGACCAAATTGCTGTAATTTATACAATAGTTACTGGTTTTGGCCTCTCTGGGATTTGAAGCCAGCAGTAAAAGAGAAAATTGATGCTGCTGCCTTAGTTTTTTTCTTCTTCTTCTTCAGATATACTGCATCGCAGCTTTGGCTGCTAAGAGCGTATGAGATTGTGGTGACATTCTTCGGTTTGTGAATGAGACCGCAGAGTAGCCACACAAAGTTCCTCATCCCCAGTGCTCAACCTAACTCGCCCACTTGCATTGTCTCTAGACTTTCCTCAAGAATGTGGATTTCTATGGCCGATGGAAAGCCAGACGAAATTGCCAATTGCATTGTCACCTCTTGAGGTTTTTCTCCTTAACAATCTCTATTGGCAAGAGAGCTCAGGAGGAACCCTCTCAAAGAACACAACTGTTTTTGAAGACGCTCAAACGAGTGGTGAGCAGTGCTAGAGATGTTGCTTAAAAATCTAGCCTGTATCAGCTCATGAGCAAGCATTAATTTAAAAGCTGAGTTCAAAATGCAAAATCCCATACCCACTGATGTATGAAATAAACCCTGCTGTTATTTGGTTTGAGTCAAAAAGAGCAGCTATAACACCGCAGGGCACTCCGTCCCCTGATTGCTTTTTTACAGTCCAAAAAAGAAGCCATGATGGAGGCAATTTGCTTCCTTTCCTTTAGCACGGCAAGAATATTTCTCTCATTACCCGACATTCAAACACAGGGCACTCTGATGCCACAAGAGGAAGTGGCTTTGGCAGAAAATGTCAAACTAGCGTTTAACTGCAGGATTGAAGCCAGTCTGATGTGGACTGGATCAACTTGTTAAGTCAAATTAAAGGTCAAAGATATTTTCCGCAGCACGGAGCAACACAAATAACTGCTTTTTAAACTGCTGTTAAACAAAGAGCGCTGTGCTGGTTGCCGTATGTGAGGAAGCTGAACGGATTAAAGTGTTTGCAGAGGTAGAAATTTTTAAATAATAAATAGTTACCTCTTGGTTTCATGGAGATATGATGACTACATCATTACGAAGAATGTTCCGTTTGATTACATGAAGAGGGTAGCTTTGTTAAACTTCGGCTCAGTATTCCGGTTTTCTTCAGCTAATTTCAGACAAGAAAAGCCAGAGAAAGCAAGATTGGCGTGTTGGGATGTTGCTGAGAGTAACATGCTCCCATGTCTCCATCTGCTCCACACGCTGTCATGTCAGCAAAGTGTCCATCTCGCTGAGGCCTGTAGCTACAGGTCTTTGTGCCACTGTTGACACATCTCACAAGGATTGGGTTCCACGGCTCACTCACTCCTCATAAATGATCTGTTTGTTAGAAGGCCTCGCTACAGTGGGCAATAGACAAATTATTGATGGAGGACAGATATCAACTCAACAGGAATAACACAGAATCTGCATCCATAGGTTTTTGCACACTTCAATAAGTCTGTATATGTAAAAAAAAATGTTGAAAGAAAGGAAAAAGAAAACTGGTTTATTTGGCTCTATGATTAAAAAAAAGAAAGTTTGACATGAGAGTGACCTTAAAGGTCTACAGCCCTAAACTGTTTTCTCACATAGTTCATTGTGCCACCACCACTTTATGAACTGGATAAATGGTTTCACCTATGAGATTGTTTGGAAACGGCCCCCCTGCACATACATGTGAAAAAGTATTCATTTCTGGTGCCAGTTGAGGGGAAAGTGCTTCCCATTGCGCTTGCATCGACCTTGAAGAACAGATCTGCTTTCAAACTCACTAACACCTTCTGACACTGTTCACTCGCCTGCATGCTGTTACAGAAATGTCTTTTGAGGTAGGGGAGAGGGGGCCCAAAGCTAAATACACTGCACCAAACACCAGGGGAGGAGAGGTAAGTGTACTTCTCATGTAGATTTATCTTTGGATGTACCTGTATCAGATGAATCAGCCTGTGCACTCCACGGCCCAACTCTCATCCCCTTCTTGCACGACAGTATGGCGATGAGCAAGAGGGAAGGGGTACACATTTAAACACAAACCAGCTGGGTGACAAGGGGCCAGGGTGTGTGAGGAGACAGAGGACTAGTTTTGTCAGATAGGAAATGAAGGAGCAGACTCAACATCAGGATTTACTCAAGTTGAATGATTAAGCAGGAGTTGTGCCTCTTACCTGACGAGAGGTAAATTCTTACACCTGAGGGCGTTCAGGGGGTCAGCCATCACTGATCTCAATCAAGATTTTTGTCAGTCAAATAATGGTTCTCTGTTAAATTTTTAAAGAAATGTCTGCTAATCATGTGAATTGTATTTAAAGTCAGATGCTGAATCCTATGTGAGGTTCAGCTGTGATACATGGTTATGCACAGGGCAGGTCAAGTCAGTTTACATACCACTGTCATCCAGTTAAGCAACTAGCCTTGGAGGGGGGCTATTAAAGTAATTTGGGGGAGTAAAAGAGGATGGGGAAGTGGAGGGCTTAAGTTCTTGGACTGACCACTAGCTCAGTCCATCTTCACACTAATCCTCCTCTTGTGTATTTGATAGCATTGCTGACTGTGTGAGTTCTCAGTGGGGTCTTGTGTTGGCTTGGAGGCTGCAGTGTGCTGCTGACATGTTTAATGTGATATCAGCTTGGACATGTCAGCGGAGAAGAATTTAGATGTTAATCTTTGTTAAATTTAAAGGGATTTATACTGTAGTTATTGTTGTGAGCGACAAATCAAACCATGAGGTGTCGCGCCATAGGTATTTCCATATTTATTCAGCTTCTACCTCACTACACATTTACTGTGCTTTTTTATTCTATTTATTTATTCTATTTTATCCTATTTAAAGCACCCCACTCAAAAAAGGATTTAAGACAAAACAGTTATAAACTCAGTGATGAACAGAAATGAACTTTATCAACTACAATGGTAAAAACTTCCAAGCTAAGAATACTCATTCAGTATCATGGGTATGTTTCTCATTTTATGAACATTTTCACATTATAATGGTTTCAAAAGGTTTCTTTCTTTTTTAATTTATTTTTTGCTGTAGATTTTTTTTTTCGCATAACAAAATATGTCCAGATGACTGGAAAAATGAACCCAGACGTGAAACGGTTAACTGTCAGCGCCTGTTTCCACCCAGCTCCATGCACTGGACTATGAAATATTCGGAGGACAATTGGTTAAGTGGAGTTAACCGTTGCCTTTTCTCCCCGAGGTATCTTCCTTTTTGATCCTGCCGAGTCTGGCGCCTTGCAAAACACAACTTGTCTGGCTTATTAAATAGTATGACCTGGAGAAAGAAAACGCCTGTTGCTTCTCAACCGAGGCTATTGTTAAGGAGAAGAGCTCCTGACAGGCCTTAAATTGCTGCAATGCTGTGTGACCAACACTCATACCTAATCAATTTCTATCCTGGCTTCGCACTCTTTCTGATTGGAATTTCTGTTAAGCTGCTTCACTTACTCTTATTTCTATAATATACACTTACGGGCAGGTTATTCATTGACAAATGGATTTGCTTTTATTATATTTAATTTGGGGCACAAAATATATTTTAATCTCTTTGATAAAAGTACGACTTTGATATCGACACGTAACTCATTAGCCCCTGCTCAGCTTTACAGTAAGAGAGTAATTAAACTAATACTACCGATGGAAGTGCTCTGCTAAAGGATGTAAATGGTCAAGAGAGTCCTCCCCACTGGTTAATTGCACTAAAATTGGTCTAAGCTACTTTGTGAGAGCCATCAATAGTCCCGCACCGCATGGGGTCTGTATGATTAACGTCTCCTTCCTTTCAAAGCCTTCTTGATGTTCTCTTGGAAGGCTACAGGCCAATCAAAACCACACTCTGAGACGTCACGAGGCCAACTTGACGAGATGATTGGTGGAAGCAGGGAGGGGACAGCCCCTGTCCTTTTATAGACGACCCCGTCCAGCGCGTAAAAAGCTACTGGGCACCGCTGACAGCGCAAAGACGCACATTGGACACCGTACCCCTCAGCCACGTAATTCCTCTAAACGGGCCGCACGGAGGTGCATGGCCCCATCCCCTTGTATCATGATGAATCCTGTGCAGGGGTCGCCGTCCCAAGACGCCAAACAGCTTCATCAAAAAGAGGAGACGGATACGGAGAGCGAGGAACTGCAACCCAAAGACATGACAACCGAGAAAGGATACAAACTCCAGCGGAGCAGCCTCCCGTTTAGCGTCGAGTCATTGATTTCCAAGAAGACCACCTGTCGGACTTCTTACTCGTCCTCAGATTTAGCTCTGGTCCTTCCGAAGCCCGTGGCTGGGCAAGGCGAACATCTCTCTCCAAGGACTTTTTACGCGGAGAGGAAGATATCGGCTGAGAGCTCGCAGGGTGTTTCCAGTAGCTCCAGCGAAGACAGTCCACAGTTTTGTGAGAAAGATCAGAGCACTTGGTTCCAGACGTCCTCCTTTTCTACACCTCCCCGTAAGTCCGTCCCTCCGCAGTTATCAGAAACAAAAATAAACTGCATTTATCCACCTCTCTATAGGAGCTGCATAACAAGTTTAACTGCGAGACGCCTTTTTGTTTCCTACACACGCATGATGCGTAAATACTATTTTTATTTGGTCATTTATTAGGTAAATAAATGCATAACAATGGAAATATGTTTTGCATCTGAGCTCAAGAAACACTCGCTTCTCTGCTGCACCGACCCTTTACCATTTGATGCCATATATGTCTTGTTATCTATAAAATAAATACATAAATAAATACATAAATAAATAAATAAATAAAACAACTTTTAAACATTTAAAAAGTCATAAATGAAAGCAGAAAATCTGAGTATGTGCTCAAGCCTTTGATTCCACAAAGATGTGACAGTGTGTGATGCAGGTTATTTTGTCAACATCAATATACTGCAGTGTATTTATCAGTGTGTGTGTGTGTGTGTGTGTGTAAGCTGCGTTATGCTGGTGTTTGTATCCAGTGGCGAGGGCTCTTATGTTCACCTGCTGTGACAATCCCGCTTCAGTTAAACTCCGATTTAATCTAACCTCAGCTTTTTCTCTTTGCAATTTCTTTGTGACAGGAAGCTCAAGTCCAACTCAGTGTACTTTAAGGAAGCATAAAAACAACAGGAAACCTCGCACGCCCTTTACTACCTCCCAGCTCCTGGCGCTGGAGCGCAAGTTTCGCCAGAAGCAGTACCTCTCCATCGCAGAGCGAGCCGAGTTCTCCAACTCTCTCAACCTGACGGAGACTCAGGTCAAAATCTGGTTTCAGAACAGGAGGGCCAAAGCCAAGAGACTTCAGGAGGCCGAGCTGGAAAAGTTTAAGTTAGCCTCCAAGCCCGTCCTGCCTGCATTCGCGCTGCCTTTCCCCCTCGGAGCGCACATGAGTTCTCCATCCTGGGGCCCTTCAAACGCCTTCCCGAGACCCAGTCTGCCTGTGCCAGGACTGTTCAGTGGACCCGTCACTTATGGGATGTACTATTTGTCTTAATAACGTTCCTGTGTGTGTGCGTGTGTGCTCTTGGCCACAGCACAATTAAAAAGTTTTGGAGTTTAGACTATTTCCCCCCCAAACTCCAAAACCGAAGACAAATACGACAAGTGGCGAATACCGGTGTATAAACGTGTGCGTAATCGTTCCGAGTGCGGTCACTTGCTCTCATTTTGTGTCCACTTCTGAGAATCGTGGATTCTTGGCCTTAATTTTCTTAAGCAAAACTCCATAAGCAGATGTCATCTACTCACACAGTAGATGACATGCCTTAAATATTTCATCCCAGCCTGTCCTCCGTGCTCTCCAGTAGCAACTGGGCAATTAAATGTGTCCGGATCTAAAGGCAATAATCCTCTAAAGCTGGGGGACATTAATAAAAGCAACAGAAAAGTACTTAATTGGTGTCAGTGCCTTAAGACCCCGAAGTGTACACTCTTTATCATCACTTGAATTCCTCATTCAAGATATGAATATTTTTTTCTGTTATCGGGTAGCGTTGTCCATTTTTGCTGTGTTAATATCTGTATTATTGTCACGATTTCTATCATTCTTTTTAAAGAACGGAGACAGAATTATATTTTAGGAAAAAAAATACATGTATTAGTTTTTTTAACCTTCACAACGTGGCCTTTATGGGAGTGATATTAGATTTACTTTGATGAATTTTGCTGTAAATGTAAATAAAATTTGTAGTGTTCTTAAACGTCCTGCAGTCTCGCTTAAAGGGCAGGAGAAGTGGTATTTATTGAATATCTTTGTATCTGTACTGTGTACATACATGAGTCTATCAAAATGTGCAGTAACTTGTAAAAACTGATTTTAGTAAATAAACATTATCCAAGAATTGATAAGTGCTTGACTCACGTTTTTGTTCTGTTAATATCGCCATTGACCTCTGGAGCCTCCGTGTGTTCTGCGGGTTTTTACTGTGCAGTGCAGCGGAAAAGCTTTGTTAGTTAAATGTTTTTCAAATTTTATTTAGATATTTTATTATGTGATTTATAAGTGTGCAAAACGTTTACCTGACAACCTCATCGCATTCACACGCATTTAATTATCTGATTTGGGAATGACCACATAGCTGTTTGATTTTCAGTACAGATCCGCTTACTTTTACCACATTGTGCACCTTTCGTAATTTATAAATAAAGAGCATAGCGTATTGTTTTGTTTTCCTTATTTACATTTTAAAGCGAAAACAGTTTGGTCTGTAAATCCTAAAAAGATTACTTGAATCTCAGTTTGTCGCGATGATACAGTTTATTGGAGATAGTACACTTTTATTTTACTTTTAAATATAAAAAACACATTTTTCCCACGACCGACGCAAAGGATGTGGATTTTTAAGGATAAAGGAAACCTTTTATCTTTGCTGCGCATATCAAGTAACCAAGTGACATTCATCTGTCTAACCTACAGGTTGCACCAATTGCGCCACGTTTCTGGGAAAATCTCACATTTTTAATGATGGCTTTGGTTTTGGAATTGATGCATTTTATTGTTTCCATTTATTGCCTGGTTACACTTGTGGGACACTGGTAAACTCTTAAGGCCAATATAATTACCTGGAATATAGAGTTAATAGACACATTTCCCCCATAATTGAACCAAACCCTCAAAAGTTCCCGCTTTTCTTCAATTTTTAATTTGTTCTTGTTAATCTGCCTTCAATTAAATTAGTTAGACCCCCCCTTCTTTCTTTTTTTCTTTTCTTTTTTACAAAAAAGAAACAGAAACCAAAGGCTTAGAGTTAGTGAGATTTAGGATTTATTTATTTAATAATTACTCACTGTTAAAGCCCACAGTTCTAGAAGTTGGCTTCTAGAAGCTGGATCGCATAATTGCGAAAGTTTGCAAATGAAAAAAAGGAAAGAAAAGGAAACGCATGAAGGCAGGCTGTGATTACTCAGCCTGTCCAGCAGAGGGCGGTGGCGCCGATTTGCGGCTCAAGGCGCTGATGAAGAAGGCTCTTCCGTTGGTCCGTCCTGTCACAGACAACACTGTAGCGAGGTGAGTACAGAGAAGGGGTGACTGATTGAAAGAATATCTGATAATAATTTCTTAAATAATGGTTAGTTGGGGTCATGCATGTGTCGGTGGATGGAAGATGGAAAAGTAGCCTGACCGGCCACATTCGTGTTTTGTCAAAGTCCCGGTGTCATAGACGGAGTCCTCTGACCTTGGCTAGCAAGCTAACAGAGTTAGCTACCTTTGGCCGGTTTTGAGTGTTTAAATTGAGCAAAACGTCACGGACGGTGCCACTGCAACTATCTTTAAAAAATATAAAACGCGCTACGAATAACTTGGGTGTATTTCATCAAGACACAACAATTATTTAGCTTCATATTGTCTGACCGTGACCCAGAGGACCAGGAGAAACTCTGGACCTCTGGGTCCAGCGAAATGAGGACATTGAGTTGAAGTATTTTATTCATATCTCGGCGTACAGCAAAATATCTCTCCACTCTCAATAACTTGAAAGTGAACATGTAATATATATTTACTGTCTGAACGTTATTTCATTTAACAATGTATGGTACTCCTCATCTGTCAGTTTTATGTAAACGCAAATGTCTTTCCAAATGCTGCAATCACTAGACACTCAATTTTATATTTTATATATTCAATTCAATCGGGTTTTATACACTGAATGCCACGCACAGTATGCAAGCATAAATTAAGGAAACATGAAAATAACTGTATACCCGTTCGTTCCTTAATGATATACATTCATTCTTTATTTTTTGTGTGAGGAATATGCCTTTCATTTGTCCTTATGTTTAACCTACGTGATGCAAATGCATTTGAAATGTATATTAAAATTTTAGGCTTACATATTTAAGTTTATTCTGATTTTAGTCTAAGGAATTGGTGAATCTTAAATACCTGGGGTCAACCAACCAAAGCAACAGACAGTGTACAAGAGAGGCGAAGAAGTGTGCAGGGTTGGTGGTAATGTTTGACAGAAGGATGGCAGCAGGAGTGAAAGGCAAGGTTCTCAGATGATTTTTCTGTATGATGCTTGCGTAAGTTTTGAAATCCAGTTGTAAAATAAAAGTAGTCTTCTCATTGTGGTGCCTCAAACCATTCATGAAGGTATCCTCCTCATCAACAGACGATTTTCCTGTTTTCTGTTTGTTTCTCAACAAACAAACTAATTATTGACCAAAACACATGTTGACAAGATTTGTCTAGATGATTGTTGATATTTTAATTCAATACTTAAAAGAAATAAAAACATGTGTCCTTTCTGTTTTCAGACAGTCGAGATGGCAGGCCGTCGTGTAGCCCTGAAGGCCATTGACTGGGTGGCATTTGCCGAGCGAGTTCCACCCAACCAGCGTGGCATGTTCAATGCACTGAAGACTCGCAGTGATGGCATCTCTGCCAAGTATGATATACACTTCTCACTATGTTATACATCATCATCTACAGTGTGTGGAAATTAGGCTCCAGCTATCAATCGACTAATCTGTCGATTACCCAATCAAGTAAACTCTCAATAATCAGATTAAGTTAACAGATCATCTGTTTGTTTTAATTCAACTTCTGGAGGATTACTGCAGATTTCTCCCAGTGTAAAACAAACGTCTGTGGATTGAGCAGCCGCAAACTTGGCTTTTCTTAACATCAGAGTTTGTTGATC